GTAATCGATCATCTCGACCACAAAATATATGAATATCAAAAAAATATTAATTTTAAGACCTATGCATCTTGTAACAAATATAATCTAGACAGTCATATTATCAAACTAGACAGTCACATTATCAAAAATTTCATAATTAGGGTTGGATATAGACTTTCAAGACCGGTAAAAATTCTGACACCGAAACTGTATTTTTTGGGAAAATGTGCTTCTTACTTGTAAAGTACAAGATTTGATCGGAAAAGAGCTGAGGTCGTAGCAGTAGCACCCCACACCCTAGTCACCATGTTGTGGTTTCATTCTCACCACTAACATCACCCCACTTACACTTTCAAAAAGCTAACTCGATCCACTTGAAAAAACAAGTAAGGCTTGTCTTCTCCTCTGAATTACCGAAAAAAAAAAAACAAAAAAATGCAAGATTTGACCCTTACATCTTTGAGTCCGTTCTGTGTCTCTCATTTTCTCTCTTTATGGCGTCCCATTCTCTCTCTTTATGGAGTCCAACTCGTTGTGAACCCTGTAAGAGTTCAAAGTTTGTTGGAGTCGTAATAGAAAAGTAAATGATGTGGCCCCGACTAAACATTAAACGGATAAGACCGTAATCTTACTCGAGTAAGCTTTTCCATAAAGCCGCCGATGTCCCAACTAAAACCATAAAAGCAGCTTTGCTTAAAAATAAGCCTAATAATTCTGGGGATTGCGTGTTCTTCTTCTTCTTCTTCTTAAACTTGCACTTTAGCTTTCTCATTAAATTTAGAGGGTAAGTTTTCTATTTTTCTCCTACAACATAAAAACTTATATACTTCTTTTTATCCAACTGTGTATTTTTAATGGATGGCTACTATTGCCTCAATCACAACGTCATGTCTCTACACTATATATGTTTTTTTTATAAACTACTTTTACACCAAATTTTGTATGTTCAATCTTCTATTAAACTCGTACTAACGAAAAATATAAAAAAAAATATTTTCAATAAAATAAAATGATCAAAATACCTCTGAAAATTTCAAGAGGTATTTTGGTCATTATATTTTATTGAAAAATTATTTTTAATATTTTTTTATAGATGCGTCCCAATGAGAAGATGACACGTACCAAATTTAATATTTATACAATTTTTATAAATTGATCGGATCAAAGATCAAACGGTGAGTGGCTCTGTTGATAAAAATTGGACGGATGGATGGTAGAGGAAGCATAAATCTCCTATGTTGTGCTGTAGAGAAAGTACAGAAACCGTTTCCAAATCTAAATATACTTGAGTTACTCAAATTTGTGTATGGATTCTTGCTTTTTGCTCACATCTCTAGTTCTCGGACATTGGAAGTTGGATAAGAGTAACACGGCTTTAACATTGCAGAGCGAAAAAATAAAAAACCAAGAAAGAGAACACTTGATTGTCTCGTGGAATCAACGTGTTTAAAAGCATCATTTTCTTTAGGGGTAAGTTAGCATTGAGATTTACCCTAAAAGTGCAAAAATGTTTAATGTGGGGACACTGCTCACAAACGTGTGTCCTTTAGTTGGGGCGACTCAACAAGCAACCGAGGAATAAAAGCAAGTTGCAATTTACTTGGGGGAAGTCTATATAGGGTGCTAATTTTATAAGGGTGCAGTTCGCATACGGATGCATATGAAGCGGTAGAGGTAAAGGGCACCTTCAAATTTTATCATGGTATATAATTTTGATGTAAAATGTTTTTAGGATTATCTTAAAATTTATTTTTATATCTAATTATAAAATTTTAAATTTTAAAAATGGTCAAAATCAAGTAGATCTATAAACATATGAAAATATTGAAAATTAACGGTGTAGATAATATGTTGTAAAATGCACTATTTTTTAAACTTAAAATCTTTTTATTTTTCATGGTCATACATCTCGATGTCGAGATGACCAATCAAAGGGTTTTTCAACATTAAAACTACCTTTTCTGATGGGTTTTTTAGGTGCATCCGTAGTTCTACATTATAAGATTGCATCCTTATATAAACTTTTCCATTTTATAATGTATAAGTAAGGTACACCTGAAAAACCCACTGGAGAAAGATGTTTTGATGCTGACAAAATTTCTAGTTGATCATCTTGACCTTGCGATTCTTGGACGAAAAGAACAAGGATTTCAAGTATTAAAGTTAGTTCATCTTTTAATACGTTATCTAGAACTATCTATTTTTAAGATTTTCAAGTGTTTATAAAACTACATCACTATTTTAAAAATTTAAAATTTATACTTATGGGTGGTAATATATTTTCATATCATAACAGGCTTTCTGGCATCGAAACTACAACTTTTAGTATAGTTTTGATGTACACCTTACTTCAATAGTTTGAGGTTGACGCCTTTTGAAACTTCTCCCAATGGCCTAGGGCGCAGTCGCTCGTACAAATAACTTTTTCTTGTATTTTGAAGCGTATAGTCACCAAGGGCTTTCATGACTTAAAAATATCCACTGAGGACATCATTGTCATAATATGAAAACTTGGGCATTAAGAAAATTTTGTAAGGACACATGGGATTTGTCATAATGCATACCGATGCTATAAATAAGTCTTATTTGGCACGCTGAACTTATTGTGTCCATGTAAGACTCCCCAACAAGATGGTAAAATACAAACAAGGACAATTATAAATAAATTAATTGCCAAAAAAAAAAAAAAAACAAAGAGGTACAAAACAATAATCATGCTTTTAGTTGTGTTTTGTTCCATTCTAGAATAATTTGTCGAGTATGTACAAATTGCATGCATGCATGCCCCCTCTCTCTCTCTC